GTAAAATTGCATTCCAATTTTATGGATGCATAATATAGGCATGTATAAAATCCCTTCTGGATTGAATGGACATTCTGTTTTAATTGTTGTTTAGTCGTTAAGTCGTGTCCGACTCTTCGTGACCCCATGAACCATATTGCGCCAGGCCTTCCTGTCCTTCACTGCCTCCCTGAGTTTGCTCAGTTTCATGGTCATCCGTTTTAATGGACACCCTTTTTTCCTTGTTAGAGCGTTAAATTATGGGCTTAGAATATATTTTTTCCAGTAAAAAATATTCTACGGTTCATATCAATTCAGAGCAAGTTACTTGAAAGGATACGTAGGCAGTTGTACATATCCTGCAGAGGTTTCTCATCAGCAAACAGGCGAGACTGGACCAACTGATGGATGAAACTGATCTGTATACTATGAACCAAGGCACGGCCATCTACCATTAAAATAAAATAAAAAGACTATATATTCTTAAAAGATGACCTAAAACTACTTAAAATGTTGCTCAAAGTCTTCTATCTTAGAGGAATATAGCAAGGTTTCATTAATGTTTGAAAAGTGGCTACCAATGCAGCATACACTTTGAGAGAACCAAGAGAGAAATTTGAGAGACAGAAGCATTTAAGATGATTATGGAATCATCACAATTTACTTTGACTGAAGGGTTAACGAAGTGCACCCTTTTGGAACCAATGTTCAGAAACAAGTTTTCAACCAGATAATGTCTTTTGGCATTACCTCCAGTCTCTTTATCCTCAACCAGAATTTCCAGTTTGAGAAGGCGCCATGGGACATCAGGATCATCTCCCATCACAGTTAAGGTAGCCTCAAATTCACCTTCCACACGAAACTTTACACGGCCATTAGCTAAAAGCAGAATTCAATAAAATAAATAAGAAAACAAGATACAAAGGAGAAAAATAAAAGCAGTTTTAAAAACCCAAGAAGCATAATTTTCTCTAAATTGAGGGGGGTCAACAGAAGAGGCTGCTAAAAAGAAAGATTGGGGAGGAGGTATAGATGACTACAGATATCACTACTGGGTGATGTTGAAGATTAGTCTGAGAAGAATGTAATTCTTTCATAATGCCTAAATAGACCTTTTTCTGTTCAGTTACCCCCTTCCCTCCCCTCCCCTCCCCTCCCCTAACTTCTATCTAATTTTGTTCCCTTTTTTCTTTCATTACCACTGCAACTACCCCTTCCCTTTAACTCACTTCCATCTTGTTTTGAAATTGAGAGCTAGCGAAAACACAGGTCCTAACAATTAGAGTGGAACAGTGTTGTTCTCCAAGAAAGAATGTAGTTAGTACTGCAGATACAATTAATAAAATGCATACACACACACACCCCTTTTACCTGGTCAACTTGGATCCAAGAGCCTGCACAGACAGTAAACTGATTCTTCATCTAGATGCATATATTGCTACTTTTCCAAGGCCATAGAGGCCATTAACCCTCAACCATTTACTTACTATATTCAATTTGTCTATATTTATTTTCATATAGCTCATCAGCCTGCAAACAAGCAATTTAGGAAGTTCACTCAGACAGAAACAAATTATTTCTTAACATAAACTTTTGGAGAGAGACAGATATGAAAAAGATTCCCATATCCCTTATAGTCATTATCCATCCTGCTGAATCTTTGGATGTTTCAGAGATTACTTTTAAGTCATGTATAGGATTTAAGCCCCCTTAATCATAAATAAAGTAATTTCAATTCTTACCTACTGTAAGATTTGCCAGCTGCGGTGGAAGATCTGTGGTTACCAGTCGGTGGCGAAGAATCTGGTTTAACTGATGCAGGGTTGTTTGTTTCTCAATTTTTGTTATTGGATCAGGAGGAATTATTTTATCCTGTTGTGGATAAGTAAATTTTAAAATCATACCAATTTAACATATTCTGCATTTCGTTAGGAAATACATATGCTAAAATTGCAGAGACAAACCTTGCCATCCATATTAGCCATAAGTCTAAGAGACACCTAGGTTTACCTAAAGAGTTTACAATAATTTCATGCAATTTTGAAACAAAAAAATTAAATTCAGCAAACTATAATCAGAATACAAAAATACTGATTATATAAATACAAAAATCAGGATCTATTAAGCCTGAGCTGTTACACAACTGTAAACCCAATTAAGCTGGCAGAAAGTAGAAATTCTTGAATCATTTAATTAGAAAGTAACTAATCACAACCAATATAATTAACTAAACAATAATAGAATTATTATTTAATAGAATAATAATAGAACAAAGAAAGAATCTTATTCAAATGCTTTTACAATTAAAAAATGAAAGTATTTTTTAACTATTCATCAACAATAACCAGAACATATTGTTAAACCTAGCCTGATGCAAAATTCTAGAGAAATTTACAAATGACTATGTTATCTTTAGGCTGGCCTAATAACAATACAGTAATACCTCGGTTCATGAACGCTTCTGTTCCTGAACAATTCGGTTCGTGAACAGCAGCGTTCGCACAATTTTGCTTCTGTTCGCGAACTCCACATTGGGTGACAAACACGATCCGCGGCCATCTTCCCCGCTCTGACACGTGGTCGTGGCTTCCTCTAGGTGAGATCGCGGTCACAGACAGACACTTGCT